CAAAAACTCAAAATCCTGCCAAACTTTTTTCTCTAGTTTCATTTCACTTCAAATCAGACAAAACTGACTAATAAGCAACTTTTCTTCTAGAGATAGCAGCTTGTATGAAGTCAAAAAATTCCTTAATGTTGATTTAAGAACAATTACTAGTTCCACTGAAAGATTATTTCCCTTTTAACAAAGTGAAATAATGGGAACTAATAATCAATATTCCAGAACTATTGACTTAAAACAAGCTCCTGTATCTTACTGAAAAGTTACTTATTTCAGTGGATTAAGATATTTGCACTTTAAACTAGACCAAAAATACTTGGTAAGATTTTGTGTTTTTGGAGGGTGACACACATTGTACACTACAAAAATACAAAATCTTACCAAGTATTTTTGGTTTAGTTTCTAGTACAAATATCTTATTACACTTGAAATAAGACAAAACTAACTTACAAGTAACTGTGCAGCAAAATATAGGAGCTTCTATGTCAGATTAGGGCAGATTATTTGACTTAGTACATGGGGAAAATAGGTGTTTTAAGTGAAATAAACTGCCAGTAGAGCTAGGACTTTTTCATGAGTATGTAATGAATTTCAAGTGTAAATGCTGGATTATATGCTTTAAAACTAAAAGTTTGTTCTGGAAAGTTCAGTGTTTTTAGCATTAATGAGGCTTTTATTCATGATCCTTTCAGACTGATCTGTCTTTGGATTGCAGAAACACTAAATTTTAAGTATTTGTGTGCTTTTTGCAATTTTGCTGCGGCACCCTGGAGTTGCACAAACTTCACATCTTTTCTCTCTTTTTGTGTGTCAGAATTTCTGCGGCCTGGAGGCGACAGATGGCGCCTCCGGCGGCTCAATGTCTCGCAGTCAGAGAGTCCTGGGCTTCCAGAGACGCCACTCCCTCTGCCCTGTGACCCTGCCAAACTCCAAGTTCAACAGCGGCTGTGAGGCCGCGGAGCCGGCCTGCTGCTGGGGCCTCGGCCTGGCCTGCAGCCAGCAGTGGAGCCGGGCGCTGCCCCGCTCCTCCCTCAGTCACATCCCCTTCCGGGTCGACCGCTCGGTCAGCATGATCGAGGGGAACCTGCGGGAGGACAAAACGCTGTTGCCACCGCCGGGTCTGTCCATCAGCAAGCCACCGCCGCCGCACATCTCCAGCCGCTACAAAACGGAACTGTGCCGCACCTTCGAGGAGAGCGGCACCTGCAAGTACGGCGCCAAGTGCCAGTTCGCCCACGGCCTGGACGAGCTGAGGGGCCTCAGCAGGCACCCCAAGTACAAAACCGAGCCCTGCCGCACCTTCCACACCATCGGCTTCTGTCCGTACGGCGCCCGCTGCCACTTCATCCACAACGCCGACGAGGTGCAAGCCGCCGCGACCCACAGTCACAAGCCGCCATTGCTGCGGCACAGCCTCAGCTTTGCGGGCTTCTCCTCTTCTTCCCACATCTTCCAGCCGGTCCAGGAGCCTTCCTGCCTCCTCTTCACCCGGGCCTCCTCCGTCTCGCCGCCGCCCTCCTCCTCGGGGAGTCCGGAGCTGCTTTCGCCTCTCTTGCCTGAACCGGGGCCTCTCAAGCATTGCTCGTACCCGTTCTCCGGTATCGGCGACGGCGGAGACTCTTCTCTCTGCTTCTTCGCCTCCAGCAACCAGAACCTCCCGGTTCGGCTCCCCCAGCAGCCGCCGGCCTGCCTGAACAGCTTCCCCTCGCTGCAGCGCTGCTCCTCCGCCGACTCCCTCTCCGAGGAGGGCTACACCTCCTCCTGCTCCCTCAGCTCCTCCTCCAGCGGCACCGAGTCTCCCAGCTTCGAGGGTCGGCGACTCCCCATCTTCAGCCGCCTCTCCGTCTCAGACGAGTAGGGAGAAGTTTTGCTTTGAGGCTGAGTTCGATCAGGGGTGGTTTTAAATTTACAGAGTGTAACTTTTACAAAAAAAATAAAATAAAATGACGAGTATTAGGGCCAAATTAAAAAGATAATCCCCACTAGTAGACCTGCCATGAATGCTAGTGCTAATCATGACAGTTTTCCTAGAACTTTGCCATTAGCACATTTAGCAACATATACAAGTTGATTGACAGCGCTAAGACCCTCCTCCTAGCTCTGATTGGTTGTTTCTGACCGGGAGCGGTAGCATTGGGAGGAAGTGGGGAAGTTGAATCTCTTCACAGATTATCTCTCTCTTACATAGAACCAGGACATATTAGGGCCATAAAAAGAAAAAATCACATTATTACAACTTTATTCTTGTACGAGTTTATTCTTCTAATATTATTATTATATTCTCATAATTTTATGACCTTATTCTTCTAATTTTATTTTTAAAAATTCTTAGTAAGGTTCTAATCCGTTTTATGACTGAAAAACAGAATCAAGCTCCTCTTGCACTCTGAAGAAATGCAACGCTCCCATTAAAAAGCAACCAATCAGAGACAGGAAGAGGCTCTTAGCGCTGTCAATCATGTTGGTGTACCTGCTGCTAAATGCGCTAATAGTTGAGAAGTAACTTAGCATTACAGGAAAACCATTTATCTACCATCATTAGGGGCCATGCTAACTAGCATTAGCATTTATGACAAGCTCTGCAGCATAGCAGCGTGTACACCAGCATGATTGACAGCACTCTGGTTGTCTGTGGAGCTTGACTGTCTTCTTTCCACATATAATCTGTCTCATAACAAATATTTAAAAAATAAACATTTTTTTCTAGAAGTTACACGCGTCAGCTTTTAACCACGATGTCAGCAGATCCAGCCTTGAGAACGCGCCTATCTTTGTGCATATTGCATTTCTTCCACCCAAGCAGCTGTACTGTTGCTCAGTGTTTGTCGAGTTTTAGCTGACTCCCTTTCCTGTTTATTGTTTCATTGATTATTGGTCTTTAATTGTATTTTATGCCATTGTAACTGCTGTATACTGTTGTATACCTGTTAGTATAACTGGAGGGCACTCGACTCAGCATTCGTCTCCATGCTGTTCCTGATCAGTAGAAAGTTCTGTGTGAGAATTTTCTGTACCCTAATCTCAAGATTTTTTGTTCTTTTATTTTATTTTATTTTTTTTTATTTGTCTTCTCCGAGAAAGTGTGCGGACTTTATTTCTTAGTCCTCAGAAATCTGCCTGAAAAATCCCATTTAGTAGTCTCCAACTGTGTTTAATTGACCTCTTTCTTGTGCAAGTCTAACAGGATTTATTAGCTGTACGCCGTCACTGATTGATTAGTTTTTATGGTTGCATTGCTGTGGCCACATGATTGTATTTGTCAGCCATTTTTAAACTGTCTGACAATGATTCAGCTGAATTGCCTTAGCACAGATTGTAGGAAGCCTCTAGTTACCAAAGTTCCTCTAACATTCTCGTCCTGCTAACCCCTACGCTGCAAAAAAACTAAACCTTACCAAGTATTTTTGGTCTAGTTTCTAATGAATGCATCTTAGTCCACTTGAAATAAGAAAAAACTAACTTATAAGTAACTTTTCAGGGAGATACAGGTTGTTTTAAGTGAGTAATTTCTTAATATTCATGAAAAGTTGGTGAATTATTTAATTTATAACACAGGAAAATGTATTGCTATAGGTGAAATAATTACAGTCGTGCTTTTTCACCAATATTAAGGAATTATTTACTTAAAATAAGCTTATATATCTTACTGAAAAGTTAGTTTTAAGTTAGTTTTGTCTTGTATTGAGTGCATTTGTAACTACTTGTTAATATTTTGTGTTTTTGCAGTGTAGCTTTAGCTACAGCAGGTTTTATACAGTGTTATAACTATTAACATAGCCTAACATTTTTCTAGGACTATTTATTGCTTTTTGCATGTTTTATTTTTCTTGATTTGTGATTGTTTTTGGGGGGTTTTAAATAAGAAATTACGCTTTACTTTAGTGGTTCATGTTCTTTGCTTGGTTAACCGGAAGCTTTAATGGCAGGACTGATGGAGAGGCGGGGAAAGGAGGAAGCAAGCATTTTGGCATTCTTTATTTTTGGTTGCCTTATCAGCAGAGATCAAAACGTTCATTCTGCTCTCCTCTCCGTTAAACCTCCGACTGTAAGGACAAAATAAATCATCATTCAGCCGTTTAGCCGAAAGAAAATCCGTTTTTATGATTGTTAAAATGTAACCTGACATGCAGCGCCATCAAGACTGTGTTGGTTTCTTTATTGCTGTTGTATTATATTGTTGTATAGTAGATTTTTCAGAGTCGGCTCGATGACGATGCGTTTGTAGGTCGATTTCTGTTGCACACCAGCCAGCTGGCCCGGTTCTGACCGGCAGGCGAAATCATGCGAGTTCCAGGAAAATCAGGAAGTTTCATTCTGGTTTCCTCCTGAAATCATCTCAGCCGCCTGCCCTGATGAGGCCAGAGATGTTTCTTTTTTTTTTTAAAGAAAAGGAAAAACTTGTTAACTTAAGGTCCTATTTATTTTTCTTTGTAAGAGCAAAGCCTATATTGTGGTATTTGATATTGTTTTTTGTTTTTTTTTTACATAATTTAAGTGCATCTATTGTTTACATTCCAGCCGTTACTTGGATAACCTTCTTTATCTTAATATATATGTTCATCTTTATTTCAAAATAAAAGCCTTTTGCTAAATAAGAGTTTCTCACTCTGGTTTTTGTGTCATTCTGGTGTTTAACGTGCATTTGTGAATTATTAAGTTGGATAATGAACATCCAGTTTTGGTTTTAAATTCTGTTAAACTTGTTGAATTAAAAGGATGCACTTTGTTGGACTTTAGAGTTCAATAAAAATCAAATCAGCCACAGGGACTCCTAAGATTGTGCAGTAGGGCTACTATAAATAGTAAAAAAGGAGAAAGTATTCTTGAGATTAATCTCTATATAAATCTAATCTTTATAAAAAACAAAAATATTTCTGAGGTCCAAAAGTTGAAAATGTGCAATAAAAATCATAAGTTTTGAGATAAATCTTAGAAATATTCTAGATAAACTTAGAAATTTCTGAGCTCCAAAAGTTGATAATTTACAAGAAAAAAAAGAAGAAATTTTTAGATTCATCTTAAAAATTTCCTAGAAAAACCTTGGAAATTTCTGAGCTTCAAAATTAGATATATTTTCACTTTAGAAACTCAGAAAATTTCTAAAAGTCAAAAATTTTATACTTTTTGAGCTGAGGAACTTCTAATTTTTTTCTAGTAAATATGTGAAAGTAACTTCAAAATTTCTGATACTTTCCTCACAGGTTTTTTACTTTTGGAGCTCAGACTTTTCCAGCTTTTTTCTAGAAAATTTTAGAGATTAATGTAAAAATTTCTGAGCTTTTTGGTAGAAATGTATTCTTTTTCTATCAACAATGACCCTAAACTGCTGTCGTACATCATTTTCCATTTGTACTAAAACCCTCTGCATTTATCAACAAACTTGCCGCCACATTTTCTTATGTATTCTAGTTATTAGTGGGGGAAAAAATGGACAAAATCCATCAGACCTTGAAGAACATCAGAAACGTTATCGGCCAGTGAAAGCCTGATCTTTAGGAGAAAGCACTGATGTAAGAAAGATGCAGGTAAAACAAGAGATATCGTGAAAACCTGCAGCTCTAGATCTACATCTTTAAATCAGTTTTCATTCCCCAAAACCTGCTTCCACTCTTTAATTATCTCATTTTGAATAGAAAACATAAAAACCGATACACAGCTCAGCTTTATCGTGGGTCATGTTGGCTGTTATGTTATGAAAGAAAACTCTTGGTGGTAAAGTTTCTCCAAAATGTTCCCACAAGTATTTCAGTAACAAAAAACAACCAAAAGAAAACAAAACAAAAAAAAATGCTGCTTGTGCTTATGGGGGCCTTTTTTGGTCATCATCAGGGATTCAGACACACAAAAGAAACAAAGATTAACTATTTCCTCTCCATGGGTTCTGGTGGGATTCTCCCGCCCCCTGCCCCAGTTGGGCCACATGGTGTGGGAAGGGGAGTGAGTTTTGTTGGGACTCGTCCGGACGGACCAATTTGGTGCGAGTGACACTGGGGAGAATGTTTGGGCAACAGATGCCTGAACAAAGACTTTCCTCCACACAATGGGACACTGAGATACTTGTGACTGATTTCCACCTATTCACACAAAGTGGAGCAGAAGTTGAGATCCTCCCCTCTGTCTCTCTCGCTGTTTGTTTTGTTTGTGTCACTTTGAAAACCTGACACTAGCAGCCTGAAAATTTCCTGCTGACACTGACTTCTTTAGAAGCTGAAAGTACTCTTGCAGTGTTTTCACACCTGATAGTCTGGTACACTTGGTTCGATTGGCGACCAAAGTTACTACATTTGTTACATTTTCAGCTGGTGCCGTTAAACGAACTAGTCGATTTGAAAAACCTGTTCCCCTCCTCGCCTGTGGGGGCGCTGCACCAAGATCGACTGAAGGAAACAACACGAAAACCTCTGAAGAAGACACTGAGCGCAGCTTCCTTCGTGAAATGTAAACAAAAAAGGAGCAGTGTCAGATTTTAGCAGTTGTAGGATTTCTCTCTTGTCATTTGACTCAACGTTTGTTTCTGTTGTACTTACCCACAATGCCCTGCTCTATAGTCCACTTCCTGGTTTTGGAGCGGTCTACAGTCTGCTTGGCGTCCACATCTGCATTCAAACCACACCAGAGTTCACTTCAATCGAACTTAGACTGAAGTTTGTAGGTTAGAGTTTGGTTTTTTGGTCTGAATCAGAATTCGATTACGCGTTCACATCTCTCCAAATGAACCACACTTTCTGGGCGACCTTTCGATTGAAGCGGACTAAGCGGTCATGTTTGTTGCAATTTAGGCCACCAATCAAACTAAGTCTACAAGACTATCAGGAATGAAAACATGGTACTTTAAAACTAGACCTGTTTTGCCTCCATTTTTGTTCACATTTTGTGAAGAAGGAAGTCGCACTCAGTGTCTTCTTCTGAGGCTTTCATGTAATTTCCTTCAGTGGTTCTTGGTGCAGTGCCCCCACAGGCAAGGAGGGGAACGGGTTTTTAAAACGGTTTGTTTTGTTTAACACAATGCAGTGAAAAAGAGAACGCAGCAGCTGAAAATGTAACAAATGTAGCACTTTTAGTCCCAACTTTCACTGAGTCTACTGGACTGTCAGGTGAAACAACTGTTGAAATAAAATTAGATCTGTCAGAAACCTCAATGAGCATTGACCTGACAGCTGCCTCAAATTGTGGGAGAATATAAAATGTTTTACATCCATCACAGTAAGAAGAGGCAGATAGGACCCTATGTGTGTGTGAGACAGAAAATAAGTGTGT